GGTTGGGTCAGGTACCCGACCTGACCCGATATAAAAAACGTTTTGGCGTAATCTAATATGTAAAAAAATGCCAAAACGTTCTTTTCCACAAAATAATTGTAAAAAAAAAACGTTTAGAGTTTTTTCTTATAATTTGATATATAAAAAACGCCGAAACGTTTTTTTTTGATCCAAAATATCGGGTTAACGGGTCGGGTTGGGTACCCGAACTGACCCGTGATATTCGGGTCGGGTCATCAAATTCGTGACTCCCCCTCGGGTCGAGTTAAGTCAATTACCCGACCCTACCCGACCCGTTCAGAGCTCTATTTTCTGGGTCCTAGGAAAGAAAAGCACAAGATTAAGTAAGTATTCAGTATTATTGGCAGATACAAATAAAACCTATAAGAGAATGTACCAGGCTTTAGAAGATTTTTCAAACAATCAACTATCTCATCGTCATCAAGGGTAGGAAAGAGATCTTCTACTTCAGTTCTTTTATTTGGGTTATTAAGAAAGAAAGCGCATAGCGCACCTTTTTCTTCTTTTGTGAGATTGAGAGATTTGATTGCACTATAGACGAGAGATGACATAATTATCTTATTGAGACGTACAGTTGTACAGTAGAATTTAGATTTAAGAAATTGTTATTTTATATATAAGAAATCGATTGTCGCACAAATTGATCTGACTCATCAGTTGATCAGTTACACAACTAACTTAATACAGATATCTGTCACACCAGATTACAAAAATCATGCTTTACAATATTTTATATAAAAAAAGTGCTAAACTTTGAGATTGTGATACGCATCACAGTCTTGGGATTTTGTAGTTTTTACATATCAGATGATAAGGGCAGTGACATTTATTACGTAATATCCATTTACTATAAGCCCATACTCCCCCACCCCCATGTAATATGAAAAATCTTATGTTACACTTATATGTTATATGACCTTTAAATACCCTCCCACCCCTAAAATATTACGTAATAAATGTCACTGCCCTAAGCGAAAAGAATATTCACGGTACTTTATTAATGAGTGATGAAAAAATAAATACAATAACTTGTTATACACAATAATAATATATAAGATTTGTAAATTATGCTACTATTGTGAACTTGAGTTTATTGTTTGAAGTGTTACAGGTAAAACAATATTCCAACTTATCCTGAGAATACAACTTTGCTAATTCAGGATCATAAGGGAGCTGATTCCTATTTTTGCGGTACTATGAGCCATGTAATAGGACCCCGCTTACTTCTAATAAAGGTCTCCGGGCAAAATTTCAGATTTACTAGTAATTTTACCAACCTTTCTTATCTCATAATTTTACCATATATATATAGTGACCTTTTAAAATTATATTAAATTTTACCTTAGATTTTCAGAGACCTAAATTTTTTTAAATATTAAATTAACAAAATATTTTATAATCATTACAATAAATTTTAAAAATTTTTTATTTTTACTAAGTTTAATTCTTATTCTTTAAAGATAAATAACTTTTATTAGTAAAAAAAGTACTTTGAATTACAAAAATACTATAAAAAAAATCTTAAAGACACACATCTTTAACTTTACTTCAAAACTATTATTCACTTACTTTCTTTAAAAAAATCTAATTGATTTTTTTAAAAAAAAAATAAATTCGTAATTGGTATTATTATGAAAAAATGCTCGTACCCCATAAGTATTAATCCAACTGCTATGAAAATATTTATCTAAATATTTTCGACCTTGCCGAACAACTTTACTTAAGCATGAAAAAGTGATTTCATTTGACCAAAGTGCCCAAATTACGCCCTATAATCACTGATCGGGAAAATAAAAAAAAATTAAAAGTGCGAAAATTGCTCGTATTCCGTAAATATTAAACTGATTCTTATGAAAATTAATATTCAGGTAGTTTCGATCTCGCCGAACAATATTACTTAAGCTTAAAAAGGTGATTTCATTTGACTAAAATGCCCAAATTACGCTCCGAATTTAATAAACAAAAAACGTAAATTTTAAGTTAATATTAAAATAAAAAAATGCTCGTATGCAATAAATATTACTCCAACTGCTATAAAAATTCAAATATAAGTAGTTCGACCTTACTAAACAACTTTCTTAGATAGTAAAATATGATTTGATTTAACCAAAGTACTGAAATTAAATTCTGAAGTTGCTAATTGCTGTACGAATTTTTATATTTTAAAAGCTAATTTTTGTAATAATTTTCAAAAAGATAGTGCTAATGCAAATAAAATTAAAAATATAAAATGGTTTTTACAAGTATAAAGAAGAGAATAAATTTTTTATTTTGAGAAAAAATTATAAAACGTATATTACCAAATATTGTAATAATTGTTGTACAATATTTCAAATTAGTATATATAAGGTAAATATTAAATTTTATATACAATTTTACCTTATTATTTACCGAAACATTTGTAAACTTATATTTGATTTTACCTTATAAAACCGGAAACCTATTTTAACTTTACCTTACATATCCGGAGACCTTTATTTGTCATATATATAATTTTACCTTTATCTATTAAGAGACCTAAAATTTTTTTTTAATATAAATTTTACCTTATATTTTCGGAGACCTCTATTAGAAGTAAGCGGGGTCCTCATGTAATCCATAATTCCTATGTTTTTCATCACAAATGGAACATGATGAGCTTCACAGCTGAGATGATGCAAAATCATGATTATCAATTCTCCTAAAACTATTTTGAAATTTCAAGTATGGGAAGTGTTTTATCATAGATTTGATAATTAATTCTGGATTGGGTTTGGCTTCGAAGGTGATAGGCTTGAAATCAGAGACTTGAGGTTTTTCTGATATACTTATTATGATTTCTGAATTCTGATAGTTGCTATAACTCATTTTCAGTTTCTTTTTTATATCTTTTGTATAATTTTAAATGAATCTTATCTGTCAAAATACTTGGTAACCCAATTAATTTGGTATGCCAATCTAGATAATCGGCAGTTAGTATTTTAACAGACTCAGTCATTTTCCTTTTTATATGATTGCAGGCAATTCAAATCCTATTTTCTCATATAGACTATTCATATGAAAAAAAGATTAAAATTTCCAGACTATTATAAAGCGATAAGACTATGCAACTATCTCAATTTTACGCTGTTCACATTTAATAAAGTACTAAAATCCTGCTTTATATCTACCTTCTATTTCTTCATCATCATGACCTAATTTGCATAATAGGCAAATATAGTCCCACATAATGTCTTATCAGTAATCCCATAATAATCAAAATTTTCACTACTACATTCTCTATATAGATTAGAATATTGATTTAATATCTTGTTGCGAAAATAGGAATGATCATAAGCTGGTTTAGATTAGAATGCAGATGATACACTTGCTTGAAACATGTCTGATGAAATTTCTAGTGAAGCATTTGGTTGAGAGAATGTTGGTACTTCAGCTGGTATGGTTTGAGATACATTTATGATTTTTTTGCTAGTTATACAATCCAGTGTAATCGAAGCAGTTATATCACTAGCGATCATTTTTGAAGTCACATAACTCTGATCATGAACATTGTTCCCAGTTTTATTGGTAATAGTTAAGTTCACTTAATCTATAATGTATTGAATTTAAAGGTTAGTGAGTCTGAAAATACTGTCAGCATTATAGGTAATCTAATTAACCATATGCCATCTTATACCTTTAATTTTTTTCAGAGTTATAGGATTGTAATTATATCCAAATAGCTTATTGATCTTCTTTGCTTTGCTTATTATCTTACGCAAATATTCATCAGAAATGTCTAAAAGGTATGGTTTTATTTTATTATAAATTTGGGACCTTACTGTTTTATCCTTAAGATTTTTGTCCTCTTCATGACCTTATCTTCGAATCTTTTAGAGTAGTGATCCCAAGATGAAATCTCTTTCTGCTTAACTTTGATCAAATTTTTCCTTGCTATACTCGCTTGATAAAATAAATAGGCAAGTTCTTCTGTGACAAGTAAAGAATTAGAATGCTCTCTATCAATAAATTCAATATTAATAAATTCCCTCTGGAAATCATCCACCAGAAATCCTTGTAATAAGTCTCGTACAATTTACGTTACTGAGCCTGAATTTGATTCTCTCTGGGAAACATCCTCATTAAGCCTTTCAGGCATTTTTTGCACAGAGTCTTCCAATGAAATCTTTTCTTGATCATGAACAATGTTCACAGTTATTGTATTACTTTCATTTACATCATGATTTCTTAGAGAAGTTTCTGTAACACATGATAAGTCAAAAGAGACAGTTGACTTATGTTAAATTTTCTTCTTTTTGTTACGTTGCCTTATCTTATCACTAACCCTTTTTTTATGTACCTATCCAAGAAATCATCCGTCTCTTTATACTCCAATGACTTAGTTTCTGTGTGAATAGGTTTGCATACATTAGAATTAAATGTGCTATCAGATGTATTTAATGGATTTGCCATCTTTTCTAGTTTACTCAGGCGAACAATATTGTTGGGGTTCTTGAAGAACTGGCATTAGCTGATGATTGTTTGATTTCCTTGATATCATCATCCATTTTGGCAATAAGGTTAGTTTTTTCTTTATCTCTTTGCTCTAGTCTCATGAACTTAGCTTCATGTTTTTCCAAAACACACCTTAACTTTATATTCTCAGCTTTGACCTTTGCATTCTCATCCATAACCTTAATATATTTGGCCTTAACCTCAGCATTCTCAGCTTCAAGTTCAATGATGCGTTATCTCAATGAATCAAGTTTAGATGACATAATAATATTTTAATACTCTATAATGCTAGTATTCAAAATCAGAAAAATATGTAGGCCATTTTGACTGATCGTGAACATTGTTCACGGGTTTGCCAAGAAATTTTTTATTATTACATGCAAAAAAATAAATACATAGTTTGGGACTTAACCTGTGATACATAATGTTTATGCTAATACTCTATCCTATTATTCTGTTTTTACCTGCTTCAATAAACCCTGTGATTTAATCTGATTATTAAATGCCCACTTGATTTGTCCAAACAAGTCCTTGATAGGTTCTACCAAATCGTCATAGATCAATATAGCCTTATTGATTGGTAATGGAGAGAAAGACAACGAACTTACCTAATCCACAGTAGTTGATACAATCCCGTACATTACATCTTCCTGCAAACCTGCCGTATCATAAGTTTATTTTTTAAGATTGTTCTGGGTAGATGTCTGCAGTTAGATCGCATTTTATGCAATTCCTTAATTGATGTCCTCTTTTTTCACCTTAGTGATTGTGATAATGATATTCCTTATCTTTATAGTCCAATCAACAGGATCTTTGCTGTAACTTTCTAAGATTTTATGCTGATGATAAACCTTTATTTCACCTTCATATATTGATGTTACACCATAAATGATATGGGAAATATATTCACAACAGGTGGCTTTATTGGCGCTTGTGATGTGTTGGGAATTGGAATGTCTTGTGTAATCTCAAAAATTCATCTATAACTAAATTTCAGATTTCTTCTGGCGTTTTTTTAACACTTCCAGCAAAAGTAGGTAGTTCATTATAATCGTCTGCTTTTAGGTTGAAGAGTGACTTCATCTTATCAAACCTCTATGAGAAGAATGGTTGTTGTGCTGTTGTGAAAATACAAGATTAAAGCTGTTAGTATCTGTTATGTAAATATAACGAAGAAACATAGCTAATATTAAATATTACTTACATGTAAAGCTGCTACCTGAAATTAGGAAATTTTACTATTTGCCGAAACCAAAATGGTAAAATTAATTTAGGAAAAATACTTAATTCCAAAATGCTGAAACTATTCTGAAATTCTGATTGGCTGTTATAATATCACGTGACCAAAATTAAAATTTTTACCAAAATTATAACTGTATTCTAATACTATAATTTTGGCTCTGTAGCGATCTTCCTGACACGTGTAGCTTCGATATTCACTTTGTGTAATGTATATACCATATAAGGAAATTATGCGTCTTTATGCACTGATATTACACAAAGTAAATATAGGCTTAAAATGAAGCTACACATGTCAGAAAGATCGATACAGAGCTAGAATTATGGAATTAGAATACAGATAAAATTTTAGCAAATTTATAAAGTCATGTGATTTTATAATAGGCCAATCAGAAGTTTTAGACAATTTCAGGAGTTTTGGAAAGATTTTGGGATTTCAGAAGAATTTTGGGATTTCAGAATTAGTTTCAGAAACAAAATTCTGGCTGAAATTATTTCAGAATTAAGAAATAATTTTGGGTGGCAGCTTTACTTACATGTGTTCAAGACAATTGGAAGGTCAACTTTGAACTCTTAAGACCAGATTATACATACCAAATCCTCATCATCTACCAAACGAATACGTTTTTTTTCACTTTTACGATTTATGACAATATGCTCATCCTCAGTTTCATCTGGGAAAGTAAAATAAGTTCAAAGCCTCATTTTCAAAGCTGACAAGGTTATTTGCCCTGAAATCTAATGATAAATAAATTATCATATCATTTTTCCATTTTTAAATTGATTAGCATAATAATAATTGTAATTTATAACATATACTCTAAGATACTCCTACAAATAAAATTTTACTCAAATTACCATATTTTTCTTTTAGTAACCAATTGGAAATCAAAAATTGTTGATAATTAAATCAAATTAATATGTATTTATTTTGTACATAAGAAACATAAGAATTAATAAAATATTTACAAATGGAATAATAATTTATATCAAATCTAGGATAATTATGAATCAGCTTAGACACCATTTTTATTATAATTTTTATTTAAAATAATATCAATACACTTATTAGGCCTTACTTTGTTAATATGAATTTCTGATATATTTAACAATTTATAGCAATTTTATATTGATCTATAGTAATTTCAGTAAGTTATTGCAATTATTTATTAATTTATACTAGTAGTAGAAATATTAAATTTAAATTTATATAAATTTATTAATCCACTGTAACGTATTTATATTACTTAGCTTTTAACCAACTTTTAATCAATTTCTTGCCCTCTTTTCACAACTCAAATTATAAAATGAATTATAAATTAACCAATTAGATTTTATGCAATAACTAAGCTACCATTATTAATTTCTATTTTTTTCTAATTGTAAAGTCTAGATACAGTATTTAAGCTCATTAAAATTATGTAAAAACAGGATCAATATCTGATTAAATTTATTTCTTGAACTTACACTTCTTGATGTAAACAAAAGATTAACATCAAGTTAAATTTACCTTTCAAAAATACTATGCATATAATTAGTTTATTTTTCTGAAGAATAAATAAATTAATTAACATAGTATAGCATATTAAGTGATAAATAAATATATTTATATGCTTATATAGTTCTACCAATTTCTTACAGAATATAGCTTACATATTTAACCAAATCTTACCAGGACCCGCTTACTTATAATAAAGGTTACTGTAGAAAATTGGCCCTTTACTAATAGTTTTTACCTTACTTTTTTCTTAAATTCTATTGGTTAATTGGCTAAAAAGGAAAAAATCATAACAATGTAACATAAAATTTCCTTTTATAGTAGGATCTGCAAAGAATTTTATATATGATTTTTACCTTAGGCCTGGGGTGGCTTATCTTATAAGTAAGCAGGGTCCTATCTTACTATTACAATTTTAATAAAAAGATACAAATACTACACATTTATTTTGCTTTAAAAACTTATAACCTATTCTTATAACTTCAAACTTTACTATTTAGATTATAAAAAATTTCAATCATCTCATCCACACAAGACTGATATCTATTGTCAATTAAGGCATACCAGAAATCATATAATTATGCTCAATTAAAGACCTGACCTCTTTACTTTCTATATGATTAAATTCTAATTGGCTAAAAAAATACATATAATATACAATATATTATATTATATTTTTTTTTTTTTTTNTTTTTTTTTTTAAAATGTTGAATCATGTACCATTTTATTAGAATATATTTGATCAAACATTAGATATTATATTGCAAATAAATTAAGAATAAAATTAAATAATAAAAGTAAATCAAAATAAACTAAAAATTAAACCAAAATAAAATATCATGAACTAAACATTAAACCAAATAATATACTATAAACCAAAACTAAACTAAAAAGAAAAATAAAAGTAAAATAAAATTGTAAATAATATTATAAATAAGAATAAAATTAAAAAAGAATAAAAAATTAAAATTATTTTCTTTTAAAAGTCTTACTCCAATAATTTTTTGCTTATGTATAATGTAACCTTATCAAACTTCTTCTTTATTGGGATCCAATTCTCACATATGTATTTCTTTATAAAGGTATCCATTGATTTCTTTACCAAAGGAATTGACTTTTGTATTCGATCTGCTTTTCTTATTTTTATATCTTTTGCTTTATCTGACGGTTGATTTAAGTTGTCCTTTAAGTTGTTCTTTATTTTGAGTTCTATAGTAATTTTATCTGTTCAAGTAATGCCTTTTCTTTTTTCCCATAAAATAACTTGTTCACATCTTGGTTTTCATAATAATTCTTTAAATATTAAAATGAACCGTATTAAAATATTGGCCATAAGCATCTGTACCTCAGTAAGAGATATCTTAAAATCTTTTTGTAATTTTGTTATTAAACAAGTTTCAACTTTCACTTCCAATGCCAAGTGTTGGAACTTTTAGAATTTTTTTGACTTTGCTGTAACTCCTATTATATCTTGTAATACATTTCTAATAAAATCTTCACTTTGACATTTAATTTGTTTTTGTTTTAAACATATAATTATAGATTTTTCTGTTGTAATTTCTAAAATTTTTTGCCAAATCAATTTATATGCTTGACATTCAAATAAGTAATTCCAATTTTCCTTCTTGTTACAGTTCATAATACATTTCATCTCCTTATAAAGTTTTGGCTTTCTTAATGCTAGAATAGATCCTAAAGAAAGGATTTTATGAAATAGTTTTGCTATAAAAGTCCACAAATAGTTAGTTTGCATACTAGTGCAGTGAAACCCTTTGCAATAATGGAAAATAATCCAAGTAATTTTCCAGTCTATCTGATTGATATTTGCATAACATAATTCCTGATTATTTTTTAGTAATGACCATTCAGTAGCTTCATGTGTAGCTAATATTTTCAAAATAAATCGCCTAATAATATTAACTTCAATAGGACTATCTATAAAAACAGGAAAATAAGATAGTATATTATCGATAAAATCTACATTATTTTTAAAAAGATTATTTCCATATTGGCCTTTTTTTGCCAATTTGTCAGTTATATCATTTCCTATGATGCCACTATGTCGTTTTATTTTAACCAGCTTTATGTTTATTGATGCCTCTCTGATCAGCATAATTATTTTAATAATGATCAAGTTATTAGTTTTTTTGAGCCATTTTCTAGTTGTTGAATCAAAAGCTGAGTTAATTGAATTAATAGCACTTAAGCTATCTGTGTATATAGTTACATTAGAATTTTCTGGTGCTGTCAGTAATGCTAAGAAAATAGATGATGGCCAGAGATATAGACTTGAATATACTGAATATTCTCCTTCTTCATTATTTGTATAAAATGCTACTCCTAAATTTACCATAGTATTATCTGCCATATTATATGAATGATTATTGGTATCTATAATTTAATTAGCTAGTGATCCATCTGTATAATATTTAATGTTTTTCAATGACCTTAATTTATATCGTATATTTGTAAGTTCTTGTCTAAGTGTATCTTGTTCTTTTTCTTTACAAGTCCTATTGATAGTTTATTATTTTTATCTTTTATTATCACATACGGGTGTTTTCACTTGTCCTCTGATACTGGCTGTAATATATTATCAGGAAATTAAATATAGAAAATCTGGATATTTCTATTATCAATATTCCCTTGATCTATTGGGTCAACAGCTAAAACCATTTAGCTATTCGTCCTTTGGCTGATAGTCTTGCAATAAAATGATAACATACCCAACTCATAGTATGTCCAGAAGGTAATATTAATTGACTAGCATATATAAGTGGGTATGAATTTGAGGTTCCAATTTTTCGTAATAAATTGAGGCATCTATGTGTTATAAATATTTCTCTAATGGGTATACTCCCCCGCTGATAGTCCATGTTGTCCTATTTATATAATCTTATTGTATAACAATATTTAACTTTTGGGCTATAATAATATTATATAAACTTAGATTAGATTTGGCTTCTTGATGACCTAAAAATAAAGATCCTGATTCATGTTCAAAAATATTATCATGTATAGCCAAACGTAGCTGTGCAGCTCTACATCTTATTATTATGAATCTAGATGCCAGTGAATTACTATTTATTAAATATGTAAAGAAAGTAATCTGATTTGCGCATATTTGATCCCATGGATTATTAATTCCTAAAATGTATTGATGATATAATGCCGATATTAGATAACTCCTAGGCAATCCACATATTTGCTTAACTAACTTGATTACTGGAGTAAATAAAAGATTCCATTCATTTTCTGATAATGTCATTAATTGGGCTACATATACTACTCTTGGAATGAGAACGTGATTAATAAGATATGCAATGTGTCCTACTGTAATACGTTTTCGTTTGATGGGATTCAAAAATTTTTCAATTATATCCTTAATTCTTTTGATTGATCTTTTTCTTGAATTGGAAGAAGAGAAATAACATTCTAAATAATGTATTTCTTTATCTGTGGCTTGAACCTTTCACTGGTAAAAAAATGGTCTATCCTACACATATTCTACACATATCTTATATATATTGGGTACTCAAAATGTAGAAAATCATACACAAATAATACACATATCATACACATATCGGGTACTTATATATAGGGTTGTGGTAGTACACCTGTACTAGCAAAATTCTAGTACGTACTGTACTAGCAAAAAATTTCGTACAAGTACTAAGTACACTGTACTAATACAATTATTACTTTTTAGGATATAATTTAACCATTTTAGGTAAATATCATGTGATCAATATTGTTTATATTTATAAAATTAACCAATAAAATTTATTAATAGTATGTACTAAAATTGTATTTGTACTAAATTTTCAAGTACAAGTACAGTAC